GTAGATAAATTACAGGTGTGTACATCTATGTGAGCTCGATGATTGGCTTTGTAGATGAATTACAGGTGTGTACATCTATGTGAGCTCGATGATTGGCTTTGTAGATGAATTACAGGTGTGTACATCTATGTGAGCTCAATGATTGGCTCTGTAGATAAATTACAGGTGTGTACATCTGAGCTCGATGATTGGCTTTGTAGATGAATTACAGGTGTGAGCATCTATTTGAGCTCGATGATTGGCTCTGTAGATGAATTACAGGTTTGTACATCTATGTGAGCTGGATGATTGGCTCTGTAGATAAATTACAGGTGTGTACATCTATGTGAGCTCGATAATTGGCTTTGTAGATGAATTACAGGTGTGTACATCTATGTGAGCTCAATGATTGGCTCTGTAGATAAATTACAGGTGTGTGCATCTATGTGAGCTCAATGATTGGCTCTGTAGATGAATTACTGGTGTGTGCATCTATGTGAGCTCGATGATTGGCTTTGTAGATGAATTACGGGTGTGTGCATCTATGTGAGCTCAATGATTGGCTTTGTAGATGTATTACAGGTGTGTACATCTATGTGAGCTCAATGATTGGCTCTGTAGATACATTACAGGTGTGTGCATCTATGTGAGCTCGATGATTGGCTTTGTAGATGAATTACAGGTGTGTGCATCTATGTGAGCTCAATGATTGGCTTTGTAGATGTATTACAGGTGTGTATATCTATGTGAGCTCAATGATTGGCTTTGTAGATGAATTACAGGTGTGTGCATTTATGTGAGCTCGATGATTGGCTTTGTAGATGTATTACTGGTGTGTACATCTATGTGAGCTCAATGATTGGCTCTGTAGATGAATTGCCAGTGTGTACATCTATGTGAGCTCAATGATTGGCTCTGTAGTTGAATTACAGGTGTGTACGTCTATGTGCGCTCAATGATTGGCTCTGTTAATGTATTACAGGTGGGTACATCTATGTGAGCTCAATGATTGGCTTTGTAGATGTATTACAAGTGTGTACATCTATGTGAGCTCAATGATTGGCCCTGTAGACTAATTATCTGTGTGTACATCTATGTGAGCTCAATGATTGACTCTGTAGATGAATTACAGGTGTGTACATCTATGTGAGCTCAATGATTGGCTCTGTAGATGAATTACAGGTGTGTACATCAATGTGAGCTCAATGATTGGCTCTGTAGATGCATTAGAGGTGTGTACATCTATGTGAGCTCAATGATTGGCTCTGTAGATGAATTACAGGTGTGTACGTCTATGTGCGCTCAATGATTGGCTCTGTAGATGTATTACAGGTGTGTACGACTATGTGAGCTCAATGATTGGCTCTGTAGATGAATTACAGGTGTGTACATCTATGTGAGCTCAATGATTGGCTCTGTAGATGAATTGCCAGTGTGTACATCTATGTGAGATCAATGATTGGCTCTGTTAATGCATTACAGGTGTGTACATCTATGTGAGCTCAATGATTGGCTCTGTTAATGCATTACAGCTGTGTACATCTATGTGAGCTCAATGATTGGCTTTGTAGATGTATTACAGGTGTGTACATCTATGTGAGCTCAATGATTGGCTCTGTTAATGCATTACAGGTGTGTATGTTTATGTGAGCTCAATGATTGGCTATGTAGATGCATTACAGGTGTGTATGTTTATGTGAGCTCAATGATTGGCTCTGTAGAGAAATTACAGGTGTGTGCATCTATATGAGCTCAATGATTGGATCTGTAGATGCATTACAGGTGTGTACATCTATGTGAGCTCAATGATTGGCTATGTAGGTGCATTACAGGTGTGTACATCTATGTGAGCTCAATGATTGGCTCTGTAGGTGCATTACAGGTGTGTACGTCTATGTGAGCTCAATGATTGGCTCTGTAGATGCATTACAGGTGTGTACATCTTTGTGAGCTCAATGATTGGCTCTGTAGATGCATTACAGGTGTGTACGTCTATGTTAGCTCAATGATTGCCTATGTAGATGCATTACAGGTGTGTACATTTATGTGAGCTCAATGATTGGCTCTGTAGACGCATTACAGGTGTGTACATCTATGTGAGCTCAATGATTGGCTCTGTAGGTGCATTACAGGTGTGTTCATCTATGTGAGCTCAATGATTGGTTCTGTAGATGTATTACAGGTATGTACCTCTATGTGAGCTCAATGATTGGCTCTGTAGATGCATTACAGGTGTGTACA